TGGTTGTTGAGCGTTGCTTTGTCTTTTACATGAATGACTGAGCTAAACTAACAGGAAAATTGGCATGGTATTGTACATAATGGTACAAATGTTATTTATAATAGGCCTGTATAATTATAAAATAACATGGGAATTAAAAATGTTTTTTTAATTTTCTCCGTAACCAATAACTGTACAAAAACACTTCAACATATACTAAATTATTTGATTCTTAAGCTCTTAATCGATTAAGAACTCGTTACGAGGTCCCACGGACGCTGATCACCAGCGGCTGGCGAGCAGCCTAGTGTGACCTGTGCTTAGATCTGGCGGTCATTTTATTCACCAGTGGCGGGTATATTTCGGCCCTTCGCAGTGGTACCATATATTTCGCCACAGAACATTTATTTGTGAATATAAATAAACACACACACACACACACACACACACACACACATATATATATATACAGGGTGAGTTTTAATTGTCCCCCCCCCCAACTTTTTTCTACATTTTTTCAAATATCAATCCCAGACCACTTCCAAACATTGTTGTGTAGTAAGTACTTCATTTTGACAAGGTGGTCATTTCCGGGCGCCATCTTGGATCCGCCATATTGGATACAAATTTTTTTTTTCAAATGTAAAGGTGGGGTCGTGACCCATTATTTCGAACTAGATTTTTACCCTAATTACAATGCCGCAAACTGTTTTTAAAAATCTTGATTCATTCTAAAGTTATGAGGGCTTTTTAAAACTTTATTTTTAGCCCATTTTAACATTGTGCATTTACAAACTAAGACCATAATCTCAAAATAGTGCCAGATAAAGATAAGTATACACTACCAGTAATTGTCAACCTATTTACACTTGGTTATGACTGATGTATTTTTTTCGGCCGCCATCTTGGATCCGCCATTTTGAAATGTGATAAATTATTTTAAATATGAAGGGGCTGTTGTGACCCATCATTTCTAACTGCTTTTTTAAGCTGAACTTAATTCCATCATCCGTTTTTCATTTTCATTTTTTGATTTTTAAATTTTGCAAAAAAATTGCAATATTTCATAAATAAAACTTGATAACAAAAAATAGATTGCGGCATTGAGTTTAGCTTAAAAAAGTAGTTCGATATGATGGGTCACAACACCCCCTTCATATTTAAAATAATTGATCACATTTCAAAATGGCGGATCCAAGATGGCGGCCGAAAAAAATACATCAGTCATAACCAAGTGTAAATAGGTTGACAATTACTGGTAGTGTATACTTATCTTTATCTGGCACTATTTTGAGATTATGGTCTTAGTTTGTAAATGCACAATGTTAAAATGGGCTAAAAATAAAGTTTTAAAAAGCTCTCATAACTTTAGAATGAATGAAGATTTTTAAAAACAGTTTGCGGCATTGTAATCAGAGTAAAAATCTAGTTCGAAATAATGGGTCACAACCCCACCTTTACATTTGAAAAAAAAATTTTGCATCCAATGTGGCGGATCCAAGATGGCGGCGGAAATGACCACCTTTTCAAAATGAAGCACTTACTACCCAACAATGTTTGGAAGTGGTCTGGGATTGATATTTGAAAAAATGTAGAAAAAAGTTGGGGGGGGGACAATTAAAACTCACCCTGTATATATATGAATTTGAAAGGATGGTGTTTTTTACCTCTGGGGACCTCAAAAGTAAATTGGTCACGGGTCTAGGTCTTACCATGAGACCTACGGTAATAGCTTATTCCCTACCTATACAGGGTGATTGGTACTCAATGTGACAAAATTTGTAAATGAGTAAGTACTAAGTAAATGCAGTGTGATGATGCATATAACAGTTCCAAGTCTAAAAATCAGCTTACCAAAGAATTATTTTATGTTTTTTCAAAAATAACTATGTTTTTAAACTTAATACAGCGATTTCTCAATTACCTGTATATGGATTTGAGTGGATAATGTCATTTTCGTGTTCTACATTAAATTTTGAATAAGAATAATAGAAAATGACGGAGGATCAGTTGCAAAAACTCCATTGTAAATAGATTCAAAGATAAAAATTAAGATGTTTGATAAAAATTAAAAAAAAAACAATGGTCTATTGTATTTTTCACACCCTGTATACAAGAAAGTGTCGGAATAAGTTAAAAACTGCGCCATTTTGTAAGCTTTCCAACCATATGCTACACTATTGAGGTTAAGATATTTTTTGTTTGTTTTAGTGGTTTGAATACCAGAAAACAGGGAACTTCTTTACTGTTTTTACTGTTCAAGCTGAAACAAAAATACAACTTTTGCTTAATACATGCCGACTTTCTATGTTTTAAATGTTGAAGACACCATGCTTTGTAGTCTTCAAACCACTAAAGCGTACATAAGCAGACATAAAGCTCAATGGTGTACCATAAGGTTGGAAAGCTTATAAAATGGCGCAGTTTTTAACATATTCCGACACTTTCTTGTATACAGGGTGTGAACAAATGCAATATACCAATGTTTTTTTAAATTTTGATCAAACATCTTAATTTTTATCTTTAAATCTATTTACAATGGAGTTTTTGCAACTGATCCTCCATTATGTTCTATTATTCTTATTCAAAATTTAATGTAGAACACGAAAATGACATTATCTACTCAAATCCATATACAGGTAGTACGTTTTCTGTGATTATATGCATCATCACACTGCATTTACTTTGTACTTACACCAAAAAAAATTTTGTCACACTGAGTACCAATCACCCTGACGAACTCACTCTGAAAACGAACGCTTTTGTGTGTATTACCATAATGCTTACTATGAACAGCTGTTTTAGTAAGCAATTAATACAAATTATTCGCCTGTTTAAGAAAACCAAACTTTTCTTCATAAGGATATACTATCTAATAGATAATACATTGAGATTTTGATGGCCTGTGGGGCAATTCCTGACTTTTATTACAGGAATTGGTGAAAGGGAGCGTCTACACAAAAAAATACTTAATTGTGACATCATCGTTTGTAAAAATCCATCCATTATTAACGGAAGAGTAGTGTTTCGTAGAAATCACCTTCACGTATTAAGCCTACGGATTTTAGAGTGCAATAGGAAATTCACTATAAAACTCGTTGTAACTTAGAATTTTTTCCTTTGACTTGCTAAAGGATATACAAACAGTATACATATGTACAAAACTTAGCAGGTGCCACGCAAAGGTTAACAGATTTACTAAAACTTTAAATCATAAAACATGGTTTAAACTCTGACTTAATGTCAATATATTACACCGTCTGTGTTGACAATCTTCTAGAACCAGCTCCTGATGACATTCTGAAAATTGTTTCGTGCTCAAGGTGTTCCACCCAGCAATGTACACATTGAATACACCTCACCACAGAAAACATTCCTCACACATGTACACTGCTGGGTGGAACACCTTGAGCACGAAACAATTTTCAGAATGTCATCAGGAGCTGGTTTAAGGTGATCTACAATGTTCTGCTACAGTATATGCAAAGTTTGCGAGGGCATTTCATGTATCAAGAATTGGAAGCTTCAAGTGCAAGTTGTAATGGATCCCAAATGGTTCACTTTGATGAACTTGAGAGTTGGCAGACAGTGAGATTAAGTCAGAGTCTAAACCATGTTTCATGATTTAAAGTTCAAGTTAATATCTGTTAACCTTTGGGGTAGCCCCTACTAAGTTTGTATATATGTTTTGTATGGTTTCTACATATGTTCAGTTGTGCCTTGTTGTTTACTGTTTATCCTTCAGCAAGTCAAATGTAATGATTCTAAGTTACAATGTGGTTTTTTATTATAATGAGGAAAATTGAATTTATTGTAAAAATAAACTCATTCAAATACTTGATGTTAAGTTAATTGGTTTAATTTTCATGTTTAAATATTAGATAATTAATTTTGTGCACAATCTTTTATTTTTATTTCAGATAGCCCTCTAAATCTATTTATAATGTAGTTATATCGACAAAATAGTAGTTCCATTCTATTTCGCATATAGAAAACCATTAAAAACGAGACCCAACAAGACATAAATCAAAATTCATCAATTATTTAAAATTTCCCCTACCCCGCTTGAAAAAAAACAAACAACAAAAACATGTACCAATATGCTAAATCTCTTGGTGGTGGCTTATTAAATGGAGGTGGTTCTATTGACCTGAATATGGTTCCTATCGATTCACCGTGCATGCAAACCTTGGAAACGACTTCCTAAATGACTTAAAATCGTGAATCATGAATTATATCAAAATTCCCCCTCCGCACACCCTGAAAACCATGTTCCCCCATCGGGACTCTTAGGGATTCATCGGATCTTGACTTCTATTGGTAAAACGAAGTTAAAACCAAAGTTTCATCTCCGAACTAATTTTTTCATTATTATTTAGTATTTTTTCTGTACTAATAGGCATGGCTCTGTATTTGTCCAGTTCCTGAAAGAGGGGCGTGTCTTGTGTCTTTATAGCAATTCAACCCACAATTATTTAAAGTTGATGTATATGGTAGAACATTGATAACAAGTCTCTCATAAGGATCGTCACATAGGCTTGTTATCAAAATTGATTCTTTTCAAGGTTATTAATAACATTTTATTTGGAGTAGTATCATAGATTAAACATACTTGAGGAGTATGTCTAATCTATGGTAGTATACAACCAATAGTATATTGAAAATGACCCTTGTTTTCAAGGGTGATTTGTTATCGAGAGTCTTGTTATTGAGGTTACACTTTACTTTGCTAACCTTTGTGGTGATTTTATAGTGTTACCAACGATTGAAGGGAAAAAACTATAAACTTTGTTAGTGCGGTTTTTTAGTTGCATTGAATGGCTTACCTATATACAGTAATATTAAGATATAGGTCAACAATGAAAATTGACCATGACAGATGACGTAACAATGACTAATGTTCTCCCAACAGCGGTCGCGGACGTAGTTCACCGATTCGCCACCAGGCAACAGCTGTATCGATAGTGTCGTTTTGACGTAGCGCCATCTTGGAGGAAGGAGGGTCTAGTTCAGTGTTCAGTTCAGTTAGTGAGGATACCCCAGTGAATGTGTCAAGTGTTTTTGGCCTCCGTCACATTTTGGACTAAACTAAGGTAAAATGCCCATTTAATCGATGAATTAGACTACACTTAGAGTACTTAGACCTTTAAGAATACCTCATTGTCGTTATATTTACACTTTGTGCGCCAAAAATGACAATTTGTAAATGTTTGAAGTGGGAGGTGTAGAATCGATCGGCCTACTACTCCTTATCCTAAACATTTTAACTTGTTTATACATTGTTGGTACGCCAGTTTGAAATAGACATGTGATTTGCTATGGAATTACTTAATAAACAATAGGTTTTTAAAAAGTAATCAATTTGGTGGCGTGGAAATTAAATTGATGAAGATGACAGCTTGCCCCAAATTCATTGACCTGTTTTATTATATTATCTTGCAACCAACAGGTCTAAGTTATGTTATTCGTTATTGATTGTTGTATATTATGATCGTGGGTTTGCTAATATTGTTTATTTATATGCCTTAATATTTTTAAATAATAGTTTGCGTGTAGGCCTAAGCCTAATTTTAATATATGATAAGTTAAGTTAATGTGTATTTTTTGGTGTATGATACGGAAACAAAATAAAATATTAAATTTTAGGCTTAAGTTATATATTTTCTAATTACTAAAAATGCAATTAAAACATTAAACTGTAGTGTGCTAATTTTTAATTACACTAGGTATTAGCCCATCTTTTTATCAGTATTGATAAGAATTTTATCATATGACTCATAAACGAATAATATAGGCCACAACAACTTTTAGATAGGTACTGTATGGTAATTTAAAAATTTTACGGTACAGCCCTTAAACATATGCTTATTAAAAAAATATTCGAACATATTTCACGCTTTATTGCAATAGGCTAACAGCTAACAGACATCCATTTATTTTTGTGGCATATTCAACACGAAATCATATGGTAATCATATGTTTCAGTCAACTTATCTCTAAGCTGATTGATAACACGATGACGCTTTGTGACTCACCAATGCGTAGGCTTAATGCAAAATGCAATGTATGGATAATATTCACCGATTCAGTTGGCTCTGTTTGTTTCGGAAATCAAGTGGGTAAATTCGTATATCGTCTATTAAATACAATAGTTTAACTGGGTTTAAATTCGATTGACGCTTGGACTTCAACTTTAAAAAAGAAGCATTAATATCATTTTAATTTTAATCGAGGTTCTCTTCTTGACGTTTTTACACAGCTTGACCGGAGCCATTTACAGATCAATAATTTTGTTCGCCAGTTTCATATGCACAACGTAATCGAAATCAATGATTTTTGCATTTTTCCATTTACAAAAGAAACAACCACCATCAAAAAAACAGATTAGATTGAACAATAACGTCTAAATACAAGTTCGAATATGTTACACTAATAAGATAATGGAATTAACATTTGCAATGGATTCTACTAAGTTAATAAAGAAAATAGATAACAATAGCCTATCTTCATAAATTAAAAAGTAAAAAATTGGTTTCAAATTAACCAATTGTAGATCCCTAACAATATGTCAGTGTTTCGTTATCAAAATTATCAGCACTAATACAGCAATAAGAAAAAATGATACAAATTTAGAACACTATAAAACATAAACGAATGACCACAATTGTGAATCTACAGAAATACAGAATACCCCCGCCGCAGCAAACCTGCAGACTAAGCGAATTTCCATTTGACTGATTGGATTTACACTGAAATGTCTACTTAAAAATTTAACATTTATTCCCGATTTAAATAGAATTAGTTTAACAAGTACTTAGGTTTGCTGCATATGGGAGGGTAAAATTGTTTTTTTTTTTGTAAAATGTTAATAGTTAGTAAGAAATAAAAACATTTTCCAAATTTGATCAAAATATGATCATAAACAAGCAAACTACAACAGTTTACTTATTCTCCATAAGAATAACATGGGAATTTTAAATTTACAATTTTTTGGAATTTTCTCCGTAACCGTTAGGCGCATAATAACGCTTCAATATACTAAATTATTTGTTTTTTTAAGCTCTACAAAATGGTTTGGAAATAAATTGCAAAATTTTAAGTTTTTTGGGTCAAAAATGGGAAAAACCTATTTTTACCCCATAAAACCCCCCGTAAACACCCGTTCCCATGGTCCGATCATGCTGGATCGCGAACTCGTTCGAATAAACTTAGGTTTACACGTTTGTACCAAATTTCATCAAAATCGGATCATTTTTGCTTGAGTTATCGTGCTGACGGACACATATATATATATATATATATAAATATATATATATATATATATATATGAATTTGAACGGATGGTGTTTTTGGCCTCTAGGGACCTCAAAACGAAAAAAAAAATCGGTCCCGCGTCCAGGTCTTACCATGAGTACTACGGTAATAGCTTATTCCCTATATGGGAAATTCGCTAAAAACAGAAAGTTAAATATTTATTGAATTAATACACGATGAAAATAAAATCTTCGCTTGAATACAGTTTACAATCATTCGGACCCACAACATCTTCCATCGTTGAAACAAATAGATTTAGCAGTGTCTGCATTAAAGAGCGTAAAATAAAAATGTAAATCCCATCCTCGGATACTGCGGCATAAAGCCGTCTCACTTGTTGTTTTGCTATTCTACGAGAAAACTGAAACAATATTAGGTATGTAATATCTTTATAGTCTCTTCAGCTATGCTTTACGTAAATTTACTCTTTTATAACCAACAAAGAGTTTGCTTCGTTTGTTGTTTTAACAATGAAAATAAATATTGATGTTTTAACAATGAAAATAAATATTGATGTTTAGAATTGTAATACATTTATTTATTATTTTTTTATTAAATATCAATGCAAATTCCTAAATTGTTTTCATCCGTGTTCCATTGTGGTGGTGGTGCATTATAATTTTAAATTTCTTTGAGTAATAATTTTTCTATTAGTGTAAAGATTAAGATATTGACTCTCAATCACCGTTGTGTATTTTGTAAATAGCTAAAATACATTATTCGTTATCATTAAACAACCTCTACAAATTATTGTATCCACATTTATTAAAGGTGTGTTGATTTAATCCATTAGCACCTTAGTAAAGTACCTATTTCTTGAAATTGATTCCACTGTAAAATAAATTAAAACGTTGTAAGTTATTAAATATTATAGTTTGAGTACCGGAACCGGGAAAAATTCTTTCTATCAAGCCAAACATTTGTTTCATTTGCATTTTTCAATGGACTACTAGCTTTCTGTTTAAAAAAAATTCATCTCAACTATTTTTTTAAATTATACCCCAATTGGAAAACATATTGCAATAGTTTGGTTGTTTTATCAGAATATTATTTGCCTGTAATTTAATCTTTAATTGTTAACACATTCAATTTTCTCTTCGTGGTTGATTAATCGGGTAGTAAAAATATTCTTTTTGTTTTATTTGAAGGCAGACCCTGGCCATTTCCCTTTGTCAAAGGGGGGTTTATGGCATAATTTTTCCCTGAACTGTTGAAAGGTGCCATACACATTAACACACATTCAGTGCAAATTGATTATAAATGGTTTTAAATAAATGCAGTGCGGTAATCAGTAGTTTCTGCATTCGCACAATGCACTTCTTGTTTAGGTATTGTAGCAACATAAAGGTTTAATTACGATTGTAGGTTGTTGATTAAATGGCAAACCTCTATTGACCATCTTCAAAGAGAGATTGTAATTCACTAGGGTTGGTTTGCTTGTTGTGTTTATACAGTTGATTTTAAATCAAATCTGCGCTGATGCTGGTGACTCTTTTTTGTTACTTCGGGATAGGTTGATAATTCAGTTAAGTGTTCAAGAACATTGGCGATAAAATGTTACACCCTACTAAAACCATGACATTATGACTACCGGTAAGATAAAAAAATTACCGCAACAAAAACTTCAGACCAAGGAAAATTCTATTTTCTTCAACATGTCAGATTTAAATAACATTAGGTTTAACAAATACATTGGTTTATTGCTATAAGGAACGTAACTAAATGTGTTTATTAATAAAATGTTAATAAATTATGACATTTGAAAAATATTATACAAATATATCCATAACCAAGAAAATTACATAAGTTTACTTAGGTATTCATAAGGATGACATAGGAATTTAAAGTTATTTTTTTAAGTTTTCTCCGTAACAATTACACGTACAAACAAACACGCTGCTATATTTTTTTATTATTGTCAGGCCTATACAAAAAATAAATCAGTCTTCAAAAGAATTGTGCGTTTCGAGGGTTTAAAATGGGAACCTTAAATTCTGTTCATGTGGTTCTTTTATGCTGGTTCAGAAACCCGTACGAATAGTCGTATGTTTACACGTTCTTGCCGCATTAAAAAAATTGATATTTTAAAATTAGATTTGTAAAGACTTAAATATGAAAACAATGGGGTTTTAGCATCTGAGGAGACCAAAAAGAAAATGTAAACCGGCCCCGAGTCTAGGTCATATTACGAGAACTACTATATCTTTATTCCCTTAATGAGCAGTTCGCTAAGGGTGGAACTAGTCGTAATTCAAACTAATTTTTACGTAAAAAATTTGATTATGTTTTTCAAACCCTTAATTCATTTGAGTAGGCCTATTACTCTAATTCCAGCGTAACGCAATTTTATATTATAAGTCACATTTATTTGTAAAATTTAGAATAAAGTGGGACGACCTGTGCTGCTTTGTTGCTAGGTTAGGTTAGGTTAGGTAAGGTTAGTTTATAATAATAATAATCTATAATAATAATCTATAATAATCTCGGTTCCGGTTCTAACACCTAAGCCTTGACGCCCACGATTAAACCACTAACAAAGAGAAAGAAGTTACCCTAGTCGGAAATCTATTTGGAAGAAAAGCTTAAAATCCTTAAATTTTACATTAGGTACATCTATTTTTAAACCATGCAAATTCTCTGATGTAAAATACCAAGAGAATTATGAATTATGGAATTATGAATAGCATTATTTTAAAATCCTTAAATTTTACATTGCATATGTATATTTTTAAATCATGCAAATTCTCTGATGTAAATTACCAAGATAATTATGAATAAC